CCTTTTGGCGGAATTCTCCCGACATATATGGGCTGGATCCCCAATAGACCATGGCCTGGATCAGGCACACCTTAGTCTCTAGACTGACATCATTGCCTCTCAGTACTCTAGAGAGGTCCCTGAACGCAGATTTTCCCCATTTTGATTTCCTGACTGCTGGTGCCAAAAATTTTGATTGTGGAGCCGAGCAAGTTGTAATTGTTAACAATCTCAATTTCTTTTTTTTTTTTCTTCTTTAAAAGTTCTTTACTGTGCTGAAGGAACAAAACAAAACACACTGATGTTTTCTTTGTAAGGTAACTGTATTACAAACAAAACTCTAATAAATAGCAAGACTTAAATTTAGTGCAGATAATAAAATCTGAATATATGAGTCCTCGTCAGGTATGTTTCAGAATAAGGCCTCTAGATGATTTTAAATAATCTTACTCTCTACACTGATACCCACAGTATCCCCGAGGGGGAATTATCAATGAAGGAATGAAAATGGGTATAAATTCTTTTTTTCTTGGGTTAATTAACTCACCATGAAAATGTATCAATTTCTAACCATCCATCATGGAGAACATCAATGTTTTGTCCCAGTGGTGAGAATCTTTGTCTTGATGTGGACCTTCAATCCATAATGAAGACGACAGTCCTTGACCTTCTGAGCAAGTCTTCAGGTCCTCCTTACTTTAAGCAAGCAAGGTTGTGTCATCCACATAACAGGCGTTGTTGTTGAGTCTTCCTCCGATCTTGATGTCACATCCCTCCTCATAAAGCCCAGTCTCCCAAATGATCTGTTCTGCATATAGATTGAAAAGGTATGAAGGCAGGATGCATCCCTGATGCACTCCTTTCCTGATTTTGAACTATGCGGTGTTTCTCCCCTTCTCTTCTGGGGACTGCTTGCTGGTCTAACATTATAGGTCTCACATGAGCAGGATCAAGTGTTCTAGGATTCCCATTCTCAAGGTTAGCCACAATGCGTTGTGATCCACACAGTCATGTGAAGAAATAAATGCTTAAAAAGAGAAGGAAATCAAGCTGAAAATGGATGCTAAAACACACTGCCACTTGCTCTTGGGTGATGAGTCACTAACGTGAGAGGAAGACCTGTCAACTTAAAAGGACTGAGTGGAGGATGCCTGTGGCCGGGTGAGAAGGTCAAGGACTGTGAAATGCACTGAGAAGGTGGTTGGAAGGACCGACGGGAAGGGCTGCTCAGCACTTCTCAGGCAGAAAGAGCTACGGTGACAAGGCCACGCTACGGCTGCATTTGTGAAGGGTCCTACGGGCAGAAGTGGGGTCCACATATAAAAACCCAAGAAGATGGAGAAATGGTCACTAAGCCGAGAAGACGCAAACCCTTAAGGAGGCAGCCCTGCCAGTCAGCTGTCCATCATGAGGGAAGACCCATATGCAATATCATGATTTCGTTGTTATGTGCCATCGAGTCCCTTGTGACTCATGTTCAAGAACCTAAACACTGCTCTCCCCTGTGCCAACATCACTGTCTCTGATACACCTACTCCCATTACCCCAAACACCGAATTTGTTGTGATCCACACAGTCAAAAGCCTTTACATAGTCAATGAAGCGCAGATAGACATTCCTCTGCTACTCGCTGCTTTCTGCTAAAATCCATGTAATACTAGCTATATTATCCCCAGTATCACCACCTCTTCTAGACCCTGCCTGCACTTCTGGCAGTTCTCTGTTGACATGTTGCTCCCATAGTTTTTGGATAATTTTCAGCAGAATCTTGCTTGCATGTGGTATTAATGATATTGTTCAATAATTTCTGCACTCTGTTGGGTCACCTTTCTTTGGAATGAGAACAAATATTGATCTCTTCCAGTCAGTTGGTCAGGTGGTTGTCCTACAGATTTCTTGGTACAACTTAGTGAGCACGTCCAGGGCAGCATCTGTTGAAATACGTCAATTGGTATGCCGTCTACTCCTGGAGCCTATTCCTTCAGAGCAGCTTGAATTTTCTCCATCACCACAGGCTCTTGCTCATATATTGTTTCATTAAATTCTGTGTCCGCCAATTCCTTTTGATACAATGACTCTGTATACTCCTTCCATCTTCTTTTAATGCTTCTTGGATCATTTAACATTCTGCCCAAAGCATCCTTAAGTATTGCCAGTCGTGGCTTGATTTTGTTCTTCAGTTCCTTCAGCTCAAGAAATGCTGAGTAAGTTCAGTCCTTTTGATTTTCTGACTCCAGCTCTTCACACATTTCTTTATAATATCTTGCTTTGTCCTCCCAAGCTGCCCTTTGAAATAGGAGAAAATATTACAGTTTCTAAGGATTTAGTTTCACTTGGTTTCGTCATCAATCCCCATGGGAGAAGCAGTCAAGAAATCAGAAGAGGGGTTGTGTTGGGAAGTTTGCTGTAAAAGCATCTTTAAAGTATAAAAGCAAAGATCACTTTGAGGACTAAGGTCTTCTAATCCAAGCCATGGTATTTCCAGTTGTTTCGCATGCACGTGAGAGTTGGACAGTGGATAAGGAAGATTGAATTACTGCAGGTGGACTAAGATGTCGGTGAACATTATTCACTATAGCACGGACAGCCCAAAGAATGTTTGGATCTGCTTTGGATCAGTTCTGTTAGAATACGTCTTAGAAGGATGATGAAACGTTGCCTCACACGTTGGGCATGTCGTCAGGAGTCCCTTCATGGAGACTGACATTCTACCTGGAAAGTGGAGGATCAATAGAAAAGAGGAGGGGCACCAATAAGAGGGGGTGACACAGTGGTCACCGCCGTGCACAGGTTACAGGGCTGGCTGGGCTCTGTCCTACCTTTCAGGGGGCTGCTCTGAGGCACAGCCCGCTCGGGGGCTTCTAACAGCGACTTCCGTAGGATCTCAACTCCCAGTCTTTCCATTAGCAGCTGTAGTTGTTAGGTGCTGCTGGAAGCGCCCATGCCTCATAGCGGCCCTGTGAACAACGGACCCGAAGCCCATCCCGTCCCGTGCACTCGAGCCCATTGCTGCAGTCACTGTCGGTCCATCTCGTCGAGCTGACCATCCACCTTTCCAAACATGATGTCCCTCCTAGCGGCATGCCCAAAGTGTGTGAGAGACCCTTCGCCTCCAAGAAGTGTTCGGACTGCACTGTCTCCGAGATGGATCTGTTCCTGTGGCAAGTTCAGTGGGATGCCCCGTGCTCTTCTCCAACACCAGCGCTCAGTGGCATCTCTTCAGCAATGATACCCTTCTTTGATGTCACCCCACAGCCCCTCAGTCTTGTGCCACCCCCGGGGCTTTGCAAAGGCCTTGTGTAGTGTTTAAGATCATGGAAACGTCAGAAGAACCTGCCAGTGTGTTCTAGTATCGTCCCCATTTTACAAATGAAGACGCTCTGATGGATTGAGTGTTGTTAGTAGGACTCAAAGCGACCCTGTCAACAGCAGACCCGAGCCCTGCCCTCTCCTGTCTGTCCTCACTATCTCTGACACCCTTGAGCCCATTGCTGAAGTCACTGTCAAGCCATCTGGTTGAGGGTCTTCCTCTCTCTCATGGTCGCTCCACCTTCTCAAGCATGGTGTCCTTCTCCAAGGACCAGCCCGTCCTAGCAACATGCCCAGAGGGTGTGAGACAAGCTTTGCCATCTGGGCCTCCAGGGAGCATTCCGGCTGCCTCTTCTAGCTATCCTTCGATCTCTTCTTTCCACCCCCCCCAAATAATAATTTTCATTTGTAATTATTAAAAGTCTGAATTTTAAACAGATTCTTGACCTGGTGGCTCACAGCCGTCAGCTCCTTCAGCTGTAGCTCCTGTCTCATCTCCAGCAGCTTTTCCAGGGCTCCCGCCTTCACCGTGAAGCTCCAGGAGTTTGCCCAATTCAAACTTGGGCTGCTTGAGCATTTTTACTTTCCTAACAAACACGCCATGGAGAGGATACATAGACTGGCAAGCCTTTTCTGTGTCTTTCCCAGTGCGGCCTGGAATCAATTTACTGACCACCTCTTTCAAGTCATTTGTCTGCACCTCTTGGGTCATGATTTCCATCATTTTCTTGAGGATCTGGCGGACCTGTTGGTGCTTAGTACAAGATGTCATCCGAATCTGATTGTTGTGATTTTTTTGTAAAATCAACACAAAACAGGCAAGCAAATAACATCGGTAGTCTTGACATCACCATGAGCTTCAATCATGGTCTGCCATTATTTGACCATGGAGCACATTTTGTCCCGGGTGAGATCCATGCCATGGAAGTCGGTGAGGCACTTTTTGCCTTGAACATCCTCAGTCATCAGCTTGAATTTTCTAAATGCAACCTCGTCCTTTTGCAAATCAGCAAGCTTCACTTCAAAAACACGACCCTTGAGTCCATGAGATGCAGTTTTGATGCCTTGAGTCCTTGTGACGAATGAATTCCCAATATTTCTTATATCGAACAAAGCTGGCACCTTTACATCATACCAACCTTTCTTTGAGAGCGGATCAGCCACGTTCTTCTTGGCTCCTTTCTCAGGTGCTTTTACTTGCCGACCTCTCTGTTCATTCCTTTGGCAGTGAGTGGGACATTCAGTTCTCTCCCGCACAGTTTAAATAAGGTATCAATTCTTCTGTCATCTTTTGTCACTGTCCAGCTCTCAGTTAATTTGCCAGTGGGTCAGCTATGAGTCAGTTCCGCCTCAACGGTTATTGTTATATGCCGTCCAGTCGCCTGCGACTCATAGCGACCCTATGTACAACTGCCCTAAACTCTGCCCTATCCTGTGCCAATCTCACCATCTCTCAAACACCTGCCGCCATTCTTACCCAGTCACTGAATCAATCCATCTCATCGAGGGTCTTCCTCTCCTGCGAGAGGAATAACCCGCTCTCAGAAGGAGAGCAAAATGAAAAGACCGTGGCCTGAATCAGGTGCACCTTGGTTCTTACACTGATATCATTGTTCCTCAATAATTTGGTGAGGTGTCTAACTACAGATTTTTCTTGTGCAATGTTTTTGTTATTGTTGATTGCCTTCAAGTCGAGCACAACTCATAGCAACCCTATGAACAAAAGGTCTGAAGCCCCTCTACAACTATGGACATTTATCAAGGTTTATAGAGTTTCCAGAGGCAAGTTGTTTAGGAAGTGGATGCCACTCCTGCTTCCAAACCTGTCATAGAATGTTACTGGTTGAGTCGCCTGTGGTTCATAGCAACTCTATTACAGCAGCTCTGAACCCTGCCCTGTCCTGAGCCAGTCTCACTAATTCTGACATACCAACCTCCACTGCCCCAGTCACTGTATCAATTCATCTCATCTGGGGTCTCCTTTTCCTGCACTGTCCGTCCACCCTTCCAAGAATGTTGTTCTTCTCCAAGGACCAATCTCTCTTGGCCATGTGTCCGAAGTAAGTGAGGTGGAGCTTCAAAATCCTAGCCTCCAAGGAGAGACTTGGTTTCACCCTCTTTAAGACAGACCTGTTTGTTTTCTCCTGATTTCCTAAATGCTGTTACCAACTGCATTGATAGTGCATCCAAATAAGATGAAGTGTTGACATGATGCTGCCTGTCTATCCAATGGTGAGACTTTGTGTTTTCTTGACACCGAGATGTAATTCATATTGAAGGATGTGGCGTTTTCTATTTATCAGCAAGCATTTCAGGTCCTCCTCACTCTCAGCAAGTGAGGTTGTGTCATCTCAGTAAGGCAGGTTGTTGAGGAGTCTTCCTCTGATCCTGATGCCACATTCTTCCTCATAGAGTCCAAGCTGCTTAGCAAACAGCTTGGAAGGATATGGAGAAAAGATATAATTCTGACACACACTTTTCTTAATTTTAAACCACATAGTGTTCCCTTGCTCTGTTTGCATAACAGCCTCTTGGTCTACGTATAGGTTTCGCGTGAGCACAATTAAGTGCTCTGGGGTTCCCATCCTTCTCAATGTCAGCCCTGACGTGTTATGATCCACACAGTCAAATGCCTTTGCATCGTCAATAAATCACAAATAGATGTTCTTCTAGTATTCTTAGTTTTTAGCCAGGATCCATCTAACATTGGCAAGATCCCCCTGGTGCCATGGCCTCCTCTAAATCCAGCTTGACCTCTGGCAATTCTCTATGTACTTTTCTGGCTATTTTTGAACAGTCTGCAGCAGTGTTTTGCTTGTGTGATATTAATGACATTGTTGGATAATTTAGAGTTGTTCAATACATAAGGATTGAACAGCATCTCCCACCAAGTGCTCCTTCAAGTCCTCACCTCCAGTGCTGTGAATTTGACGTTACCTCTCGGTCACAGGCTGCCTCCTGCTGCTGGCCCTCCTGCCTTTGGGCCTTTTCACCTGCTCTGTCTCCAGCCTGCACACTTTCCTCCCGTTTGGCCTGGTCAGCTCTGCCTTCTACCTCTAGCCCCCTCTTCCTCTGGGCCGTCCTCGGGGTTGTGCAAGACCAGGTGTGGCCCACACTGAAGCTGAAGGCATGTCTCTTTCTTTTTTGGGGGGGGGTGTGGGGACACATTTCTTGAAGGGTTTCGTGGGCCTCCGACAGGTGCATCCGGCGAGCCATGCCAAGCTTCCCAGGGTCTTCCGAGGTCTGACAATGATGGCACCTCTCAGTCACAGCCCCCCCCCCCCCCCGGGAAAGCAGGATGGGTGGTGTCACCGACCTCCTGGGCTCACTCTGCCTCGCTTTCTCGAGGGGTCCTACCCTCCACTTTGCAAGCTGGTGTCCCAGCAGCGTAAGGGGGCTGAGGGGCCTGGCCAGGGCTGTGCCCTGTGTGTCCTCTTCAAGAAGCTGACTCTAGAAGTCACTGTTGTGGACTGAATTGACGCTGTTGGTGCTGTCCGGTCAGCTCTGAGCATGGTCCTCACCAGAGCCACCCTCACTGTCTCCTGTCTGCTCAAGGCCATTGCTCCCGTGACTGTGTGGTCCAGTTGGTGGATGGCCTTCTGCTCCCTGACCCTTCACCTTTCCCAGGGAAGTCTTTATCCAAGGACTTCCCAAGTCTCCCTGACAGCGTGACCAAACGGTGGGCGTTTCGCTATCTTGGCCTCTAGAGGGCAACCTGCTGGCGCGTCCTCTGCCAGGTGGCTTTGTTCTCTCGGTGGTCACCCGAACCGTGACACCATCAATAAATAAAGTCATTACTTCTCAGACAAGCAGCAGCCAAGCAGACTGAGATGCCTGGACTCCTCGTGAGCGCAGACCGGAGAGAATTTCCACAGGTGCTGCCCATGTTTGTGCACTGGGCTGTTGTTCCAAGTGTCCATCCGCCTGGTGGACAGAACTGCCCCGTGGGCATGTCTGTATGGGGGCAGTCTGTTGGGCCTTCCTCTGTGCCTCCCACCGCCCAGCTTTCCATCGGCAACCTGGCCCCACTTGTTGCCCCTCTGGGTACTTCCTGTCCCCGGGCAGGAAACTTGTTGTCATCAGTCAGAGGTGAGTCATCACCATCCCCGCAGCTTTCAGGAGGCTGGAAACAGCAGGGAGGAGAAGTTGTTCCCACAGAGCAGCCGGTGAAGCACAAGTGCTAGTGAGGCGAGGCCGTTGGGTGCCAGACTGAAAGCTCCAAGTCCTTGTTGCAGACGTGGATGCACTCACGGCAGGGCCTCCACAGGCTTCTCGAGGCTGTGATGTGCACGGCAGGAGAGGCCATGGAGCAAAGAGGCCACTCCGCAGGACCACAGCACCAGGAAGAGGAGATAAACGAGCTCGGGCGAAGAAAGAGGGGCTTGGGGTGAGCAGCCCCAGTGCAAAGCAGACACAGGATTGCCGTGCAGCTTCTTGCCACTAGGCCATCTGAGCACCCTGCTGACTACCAAAAAACCTACCCCAATGGGCTCTTGTGGGTCAGGAAGTGTGAGGAGGGCTCAGGAGAGATCAGGGTTCAGATCTTTTGTTCCCAGAGTCACTATGATTCGTAGTAGCCTCAGTGGCACCCAACCACCACCACCACCACCACCACAAGAACAAACAAGTAACTCGGAGAGAGTACAGCCAGAGTGCTCCTTGGAGGCAAAAGTAACAAAAGTCCTTTTCACATACTTGAGGCAAGTTGCTAGGAGAGGCTGTTCTTGAAGAGGGACACCATGCTTGCAAAGTCAGGGTCTGCGAGAGAGACCCTCACCCCGATGGACTGACACAGTGCGTGCAGCAGTGGGCTGGAGTGGCAGGACAGTGCAGGTCTCTCGTTCAGAGTCGCTATGGGTCCTACAGGGCTACCAACAGACATTTGATATGGGCTGGGGTGGTCAGAATGAGTCCAGGTAGAAAACTCCTGGTGTTGCCCATAAGGAAATGAACTCTACTAGTACAAATGGTAGGGGCTCCAAAACACCTATGAGGTATTATCTCACCCCAGTAAGAATAGCAAAATTTTAAAAAAAGTAAAAGAAGAACAGCAAAATTTAACAGAACAGCAAACATTAAATGCTGATGAGGTTGCAGAGAAACTGGAACCCTTATTCACTGTTGGTGGGAGTGTAAAATGGTGCAACTACTGTGGAAGGTGGTATGGCGCTTTCTCAAATAGTTGCAAATGGAAATACCATTTGACCCAGCAATTCCACTACTGGGAATATACCCCATAGAGACCATAACTGACACCCAAGCAGATATATGCACACCCATGTTTATCGCGGCTTTGTTCACAATAGCAAGGAGCTGGAAACAACCAAAGTGCCCATCAACAAACGAATGGATAGAGAAGCTGTGGTATGTTCACACAGTGGAATACTAATCTGCACTGAAAAACAAGGAACTCATGAAACATTATACATTATGCTGTGTGAAATATCTCAGTCACAAAAGGACAAATATTGCATAGGGCCACTGTTGTAAAATGGGACTGACATCGGGGTTGAGGGGAGACAGAGGAGGAGGGGAGGAATGATGTATATATACTGCATTGAAACAGATGAGGGAGAGAACTGTTTAAAGGGATATGTGATTAGGTGTTATTGTCATGACAGGAGTCCAGAACGAAGGCTGCACAGTGGAGTGGACCTGGGGGAGGGGTTCCATAACAATGAAAGAGTTTTCCTTTCAAAGAGAAGAACAAACTGGGGGCGGGGGGAGTGGTGGGCAGGGAGAAAAGTGCAAGAATGAATGACTGGAAAGCCTAAGTCTCTGTAAACTTTCATTACAATAGTAATAATAAAAAAATGGTAGGGCTCAAAGCATGTGTTGATCATCAGTGAACTGACAGGCTCCGCGGGCGGAAGAAGGGCGGTCTCGTGGATTTACTGCCTCTGGAAACCCGCCGAGGGTCAGCTAAGGTCAGCTCCGACTGATGCCCGCGGTCTCGGACTGACCCTCGGTCCCTCCTCCAGGCAATGGGGCGCGGGGCGAGCGCCAGCGCGTGCTTTGTACGAGCAGCCGCATGGCGCGCGGGGTGCACGGGCCGCGGGGCCCCGCGCGGCAGCCACTTCCGACCCGAGCCGAAAAGGAAGCGGAAGTGGCGGCACCACCCG